CTCAGGAAGCAGTAGGCAACAGACGAGGGGTCAAGTAGCGAAGAGGATGTCATGCAGCTGCTGGGCCTTTCCTAGGGGACAGGCTCCAGCCTTCTTTCCTTTCCACAGCGGAAGGCTGACACCTCCCTCGCTTCTCCACTCATCTCTCTCATCAACACTCACTTTTTACCAGCTGCCACTGCGGTGTCAGAATGGCTGATAGCAGCCTCCAGCGTGACCTCCCTCAGCCGAGTTTCAACCAAGCAATTGACTTGCAAAAAAAAGGGGGGGGGGAACACAGGACAAGCAAGACTTATTACGTTTGAAAACAGTTCAGCTGGATTCTCACATGCCGTTACACTATTTATTCCAGCATGCATCCCAGGCTGGGTGGGGAGAAGCTTGGGGAGAAGGGGACTTGTCTTAGCAATGCCAGAGTGACAAAGCCTCCTCCTGGTCTCCAGGGGGACTTTGGAAAGACAGGGTCTTTAGATAGTTCAGGCTGTTCTCTAAGTCACTGTAGTTTGAGTGGAGAGGAGTGGAGGGTGACCTTGAACTCTTGGTCTTCCGGCCAGTCCCTGCCAAGTGCTAAGGTCACAGGTATGGGCCGTCACACTTCAGTGCTCAGGGCCTTTGGTGATAAAACAGAACCCGCTCTCCTGTTTTTGTTTAGACAGTTTGCACGTCGGTGCTTCACTTCTCAGATCGGCACGCCCCCTTCCCTCCGGCTTCAGTTTTGTTTCTAGTCCTTTCACTCTCAAGTTGCCTAGTGCAGATGGATGCTTTCTTCTCTTGGGGTTTGGTAACATAATGGCGTATTTATTTTGCTGTTCGCATCTTGTGTGAACAATGCACTTAAGGCTGCTAATGAAAACAAATATCATCTCACTGATGGCCCAGCTGAAATGGTGCTGTCTTAAGAACCTGCTCCATCAGCGGTGGTATTCTAGAAGCTTCCGCAGTGATTTCCAGCTGAATACAACTGCTATATCCCTCAGCACAGGGTCCTAATACTGCTTGAGCATCAGTAGATCGGGCCCATGTCAATCACTCGCTTCGTTTCTTTAGCTAGCTTACCAGGCGCTGGAAAGCAAGGGCTTGCTATATGCAGCTTTCTTTGCTTTGGTATTTGGGGCCTATCACCTGTTCATATCTCCTGGGAGAAACACCTTCATATTCCTTTGGTGCTAAGAGGAAATTGCCAATCACATATTGGTGAGTTTAGGTCTCCTACCTTACTGAGAAGCCTTCTGACACACTGTTCCCAATTTTCCTCTTGACTCTGTTGTCTTTTCATTTTTTATTATTTTTTAAATCATGAGTCCCTCTCTCCTAACACCTTTATCCAAGCAGTATGAACTCCTTGAGAATGCGGAGCCCAGGAGAAGACTCTTCTAAGTCTCAGGCATCCACCTGCCCTTCAGGACACCAGAGCCTATGTCATTACGCCCCATCTCCTTTAGAGCCCCGATTACCAACACAAACCTGAGGATCCAGGTAGCCATCATCGCTGACTCTTTTCCCCATCCACTCTGTGTGGGCTGTGATCTGACCGAGTCCCGGTTCATCCCTTGCAGATGCACCCTCTTTACCCTGTTCCCTAGAACTCATATCAATCCTCAGCCACACTCCTGTCACCTCCAGCCACTTAACTTTGGGAGGGATTCTGTAGCTTTCTTCCCTGCTCTGTTTCATATTCATGATCATAAATTCCAAATAGGCCCTTGGGACTTTAGCGTCTTGACTAAATTTTTATAATATACCAAATCTCATTCCTAAGATATTTCTTTGCTTCTCAACAGATACATTCTGTATTCCTTCCCCTCTCTGCTTAGGCTCACTGGGGCCATGGAAGCGTTCCAAAGAGATCTCTAATGCTCTCCTTCACTCCTCCTTGCTAGGGTGCTCATGTTCCTGGCCTTCTTTGTCATTTCCTTCTCTTGGACACTTTCTGCTCTTGCCTATGCCTTTGGTGCCTTGCTCTATCCGATCGTTTCCATCAGAATATCAACATCATAGCCTATTTTCCACCTTTGAGAACTGCCTCTGGATCTCTCAAGCAACACCCTTCCCCAGCTCCACTCTAGCAAAGTTCTAATTAAGAGTTGTCTCTTTTTCCCTCACCCCACTCCATCTTTCATTCTGGGCTTTTGTCCCCACCACCTTACAGAAGCTATGAGCCTCACCTGACCACTGCCCACCATTTAGGACCGCCTCATCACCAAGGCTACCATTGGTGTACCTGTGTCCTCTACCCAGGAGTTATGTGTGACACAATCGACTCTTCTTGTTTGTGTTGTTGTTGTTTGTTTTTGTTGTTGTTGGGGGGTAGTTTCTCTGCAACAGCCCTGGCCATCCTGGAACACACTCTGTAGACCATGCTATTTTTGTTTTTAAATATTTTTTTTCTGCCTTGGGGGTTCCACATTCTCCTAATTTTCCTCCTACCTCATGTGCCACTCCTCCTCTCTCCTGTCTGCTTTTCTCCCTGCCTGGTACCTCTGGGGCTCAGTTCTTCTCTGTCTTTTCTCTGGATGCCTCCTCTCTGGCAGATCTCCCTGTGCCTCTTACCCACGCATGTGTCCAAGTTTTTACTTTTAGCCCATCTCCCCTCAAAGCTCCAAATTCACATGTCTACTAGCCACCTGGCAACCTGGCAGAGACTCTGGTGTCTAATAGACATTCCCAGCATTGCGGGAAAGCAAGACTCTGATATAGTCTCCTTTCTCTAGCCCCCCTTCTCTCTCTCTCTCTCTCTCTCTCTCTCTCTCTCTCTCTCTCTCCTGTCTCTGTCAAATACATTACCATTTACCCAGTTTTCAGGTGCTGAGCCTTGAAATCACACCTGATTTCTCTTTTTTCTCTTTCACATGTTCAAATTTGTCAGCTGCGCTTTTGAAGGAAGTGCCCGGTGTGCTCACTCCCCACTGTCTCTACTTGCACAGTACACCAGAGTCCCAGGCCACCTTTCTAAAGCCTCCTAGCTGGTCTCCTTGTTTCCACACTCCCTTGCAATCAGCCATTCTCCACCCAGCCACCACAATAATCACTACAAATTATTAAGATGAGCCACTCAGTTGCTAAAACCCCTCCAATGGCTTCCAACCAAAAGCACACAAGCATGCAACTTTTTACTTGAGCAACAAGACCCCACATGATGGGACCTCATCTGCTCTCAGCCTCTTTTCGTGCTTGCCTCTTGCCCTTGCTTGAGCAGACGAGGTTTTCTCATCTTTGCACCCACTGTTCCCTCTGCCAATCCTGCTCGTCCTTCCTGATTTCATGAGCTTAGCTGAGTCAGCACTCTGCTTCAATATCTCTACACTGCATAAAACCTCCCAGATTACCTGTTCCATCCCCCTTATGCTACCTGTCTGACAGCACTTATCAATCCTTAACTTCTTAGGACATATTTGCACACATCCATTTCATGGGCAAGGACTTTCTGCCTTGTTCACCCTTAGTGGCTGAAACAAGGGTTCAGCGAGCATTTGTAGAGTAAGCGGGTACAGCTGTAATAGTGTACTCTCAAGGAGGCAGAAGGAGGAGGCGTGTGGGAAGAGAAGTAAGCAGAGAAGCTAAAGAGTTTATCCTCCAATAAACTCAAAGCTCCAGCATCCTTCCAGGAGAAAAGTTAGGAACAGTGACAGGCAGGCACAAAGGCCATATCACCATATGGTACCGGGAGTCAGCCTTCCCGGTAGCCCTGCTCTACTGAATTCCACAACGACAGAACTCCAGTATCCCCACTGTCTCAAAATGTAGCTACTGGTCCTGACTGGTTATTGAGCGCTTGAGAAGTGGCTAGTGGGACTGAGAGATGGAAACTGGGGATAATTTAATTTCAATCCACATTTAAGCAGCTGTACATGACTGGTGACTCTTTCATTAGATGGAACTTGAAAAGCATCTTTCTTCTACTTGTGGGGGCAAGATGATAGTTATTGGAAAGTCTGATCAGTATCTGGGGCACAGGTGAAACTCAAAAACTAGACCTATTATTCTCCCACGGTGTTGCAATATATGGTGCTGTAATTGATACTGGCCTCCAAGGAATTTTAGAGGGATTGTGTTACTATCATTATTCGCTATGATTTTGTGTTTGTGAGAGTTCGTGGTAACCAGACTATCTGTGTTTTAGCTTGCAAACTAAAAATAGCAAAGAAGTGCTTTGGGATTGCATCAAAGGCCTTTTGGAGACAGAGGACTGTTCCGAGTGGGTCAGGTTGTTGATACTTAGGATGGGCTAATTAATTTCGGCAACAGCTAGTTTCGGATCTGCAAAAGTTGGATTTGCAGCCCGATTGTCTCCCCTTTCAAGCTGTCATCCGCCACTTCCGGGAGGATTCTGGGGAAGAGAGAGGTCTGTTTTCAAACTTGCTTCTAAAAATGAAAGAGTGTTTGCCTACTGGGTTGTTATGGTGCATTCTTTAAGGCTTTAAATTGTGTTTTGATGTAAAACAACATCAACAACAACCACCATTTTTGTTGTCATGGTGGCTCACCACGTTCTCTATAGTCTCTTCCATAACGAAGTCAGAAAACAAAATGAGCAGCCAGAGCCTAAGCAGAAACTATCGCTAACTATGACTAACACCGTGGAATGAGCCATCTACCCAATCCTGCTGCCACACATCTGTCCAGAGTAAGCACAGTGGTTACTTTCAAGCCAACAGGACTTTTCTTCCCTACCCATAGCAGAGCCGAAGCAGTCTGCTTTGGGGACTCTAAAGGAGTGAGTGAATTTAAATTAAACAGGCTTACAGGCATTAAGAAAAGTTGACATTCTTGCTAAAGAGACCAATGAATCTGTAGCAGACAGGAGCCTTCTTTACTAGAGCTGATAAAGTGACCTAGCACCCACTGCAAAGGATACTGGAGTACAAAGAGGGAGAATTCTAATTCCCTGGAGGGAGTCCTTCGGCGCGCTTTGAGATGCAGACCAGCCCGTTCCTCCCCAGTCTCCCACGGAGACTCCCCCTCTCCCGTAAATGTTAAGCAGTGGCGCTGAGAACACTCACCGATGGGCATCACTAGGAAGAAAGGCAGCCAGCAGAGGACGAAGCAGCCCACCACGATGCCCAGAGTCTTGGCCGCTTTCTTTTCTCGGGAAAACTTGAGCAGCCTCACGGAGAAGTGAGTCTTATTCTTGGCACTGTTCACTCCGCCGCCTCCTGCTGGGACATTTTTCCGGTGGATGCGGAGCGTCACTTGCTCCGAGTCCGACTTGTCGGTCTTGAGGCCGGACTTGAGGCCCCGGCTTTCCCTCTTAGCCACCACGTAGACTCGACAGTACATAACCAGGATGATGGCCAGCGGCACGTAGAAAGAGCCCAGCGCGGAGAACAGCACATAGCCGGGCTCCTCGTTGATCTGGCAGATGGTCTCATCCTCAGGCGCAGGCTGCCTCCAGCCGAACAAGGGTCCGATGGAGATGACCAGGGAAAGAGCCCAGACACAGAGCAGAGCCCTGACGCCCCTCCTCTGGGTGACAATGGTGGGATAGCGCAGCGGGTAGCTCACACCAATGTATCGGTCGATGGAGATGATGCAGAGGCCCATGATGGACGCTGTGCAACACAAGACGTCCACCGCCGCCCAGATGTTGCAGAAGACCCTGCCAAAGGCCCAGTAGCCCAGGATCTCAAAGATGGCTGAGAAGGGCAGCACTGTGGAGGTGAGGAGAAGGTCTGCCACCGCCAGGTTGACGATGTAGTAGTGAGTCACCGAGTGAAGATGCCGGTGACAGGCCACCGAGAGGATCACTAAGATGTTCCCCAACACCCCGAATATGATCAGTCCCCCTAAGATCACTCCGAGCAGAATGGCCTTAGAAATGTTCACTGGTGCTGGTGGGTGGGTGCAGTTGGAGCCTTCGGAAACATTTTCAGCGAGAAGCACCATGGTCCCAGGGAGGGGGGCAAGGTCCGGCTCTGGACGGCCACCCTCTGGTGGGGGGAGGGGTGGAGGTGGGAGTGAGGAAGCCAAGTCAAACAATCTCTGCTTGGGGTAATCCTGCCAGCTGGGTTGGGCTGGGGGAGCGAGAGAACACACCTGTTGGAAACCACCCTGGGCAGCCCTGGGAACCCTCAGAGGGCCACACTGAGTCACAGAGCATTAACGGTGACATGGCCAGGGGCGCTCTGGGCTGCTGGGGGACACTTTCTCTTCCCGAGGCTTGCAGCCAGCTTCAAGCGGACAAGCTGCGAATGCAGTCTCAGAGATTACAGGAGTTCGCTTTTCTGCGTGGTCTGATCCATCCTGTGCATTCGCAGGTAAATTAGAAATTCACAAGTCTATTACCAGTCTTTGCCGAAAGGGTAGTTAAGTGTGGCTCAGCCGTCGAAGCTCAAAGGCAGGGACCCTGGGCATCTGGGCACTGCCCACTGGCCAGTAGATACTCTTAGCTTGACTGCTCTCTCTTCTGGGGCTGAAACATTTGCTGAGACCGAAGTGGCCCTGGAACTTTGTTTATCTGAATCCAACTGAAAATACAAAAGTGCAAAGAAAAAGGCGGACAGTGAGCCAGGCGCCCTAGACAGCCAGGCCCTGCTGAGCTCGCCCAGAAACCAGACTCCTGCTGGGAGCTCGCTGCTCTGCAGTCCGGGAGTGGCTTTGTGCGGCCTTGACAGAGGCAATGAGGGGAACACACTAGGGTTAAGATCATGTATTATGTCCCATTCCTCAATCTTCCCCAGTCCTCCCCTCTGGGAAGCTGCCTTCGAGTGCTTCACCTCCCCATCACTGGCCAATTTCAATACCCAACACAAAACCGCACTAATAATAATAATAATAAATTAAAATAAAATCAAAACAACCTTCCCACCTCAAATAATGGCAACAAAACCTCAAGCTGCAGTAGCTGAAAGCTGGATTTCGAGAGCCAGAATGGAGAAAATAAAACCCCCAAACGCCCCCTCCCTGCATCACCGCCCCAGCTCTACATGCTCTACTGCGGTTGCCGGTTGTCGCACAGAGGCAAGTCGGCGGAATCTGGGGGATCCTCCGAGTCGCCTTTTGAACAGGTTGCACCACAGTCACCTGGAGAGGGCAGCCTGGGAGAGCGAACCTCAGAGAGCACGGAACCGCAGGGCCACGCGCACGCTCACTCCCGCGGAATTGGCGCTCGTGGGAGCAGAGCGCGCGAGTCCGTCAAGCCACCTCCGAGAGAGAGCCAGGTTCCCAGAAAAGCCAATCCCCAGGACTAAACAGGGCCCTGAGAGATTCAGACAGGATCTCAAAGGAGTGCCCGCCCTAGGGATTCCAACCTCTAGCCACACCCGAGCTTCTGGGGAGCTAGGTAGGAGCGCATCACTCCTCGGACCAGGCTTTGTGAGTAGCAGTCACTGCGGATTCCCTAAGGGTCTAAAAAAGAAAAAGCAAATCCGTGTGCCAGCAGTCGGGATGCCTGAGGTTTTCTGGACTAGGGGTAATGATCTACCTAAATAACCCGATTTTTACAAATGGCACACACCAGGAAGCGTGTGTCAGGAGTGCGGGGCTTGGGGACATGCACACTTTGTCTTTTGGGGTTAAGCCCCAAGGCAGGGATCTCAGATGAAGGCTGCTGTGAAAATCACAAGTTCAAGCCTTCACAGGCGATACCCAAACCACGCCACTGCGGAACCCGCTTTCTCCCACCTGGGTCTGTAACTGGGTTAAAATGACACTTGTTAACTAGAAGGTAACTTCTCATGGCAAATCAGGAAAACACAGTGGTTTGGGGCGTTGGTATCAAAGCGGGTCCCAAAGCGGAGACGCGGGGCTAAGAGGAGGTCCAGTGTTAGCGGGAGGCCGGACACACCTGCCCACCCCCACCCGGCTCTGCGGGATCCCTGCGCCCAGCACCGGCCGTGCTACTCACCTGCTGCGCGGCTGCGGAGGTCCTGACCTGGGGAAGAGCGGACCTTCTGTCCTCGCAGCCCCGCTGCCTCTCTGCAGGGAGGAGAGGGGCGGTCTCCAAAGACCGAGTCCCAGTCCTTAGCACCCGCTGACTCACCCACCACTGCCGAGCACCTCAAACTCCGGGCTCGCTTCTGCTTCTCCTATATCTTTTAAAAATAAAGACTAATATCAGAGAAAAGAAAAGGCAAGTACAGCAAGCCAATAACTTCACGATCACCGGTTTGATATTCAGTTCCTGGACACCAGAAAAGAGCGGCGAGGAACTTTGCGGCTCTGGTTGACGTAGTACAGGCGGTAGCCCAGAGAGTACCGTAATCTCCAGCTGTTACCGTATTCCTCTGCGGCAACTCGCACAATCTCATAAAACTCAGGGTTAGCGTCTTTCCCCTTCCTGCCTAGATGTGGGTTCATCTAGCCCCTCTCCATTTCTCTGTCCTGCTCTGTCTCTCTTCCCCCTCCCCCTTTTCATTTTCTCTCTTTCCTCTCTTCCCTCTCTATCCCTCTCCTTCCTTCCCTTCTCTGGGTCTACACCCATCAATGGGCTGATATATACATTAAAAAACAAACAAACAAACAACAAAGCAGACACCCTTCCAAGTTTTAATTGGCTAGATAATGAGTTTACAGAAACTCCCTAAAGGTTCCTTTAAAAAATTTAGTCCAACTGATGGCCCGGGTTTGTTTAAGTCTGGAAGTGCGTGGCTGTGGTGACCAATGTGTAAGTGCTTGGCATTATTTGCAGATGTTTAAAAAGTACACAAGACCAGATAAGATTCCCTAGATTTGATTGTAATCGTTTCAGGAAAATAAAGTCTACTAAAATATGAGCCACCTTTTATTTGGTTAAAGAGAGGTTTTAAAATTAAATGTTCTCTAGGCAGTTTCTCCTACAATGTAGTATCTTTAAGAGTATTTGTTTCCAATTCTCAAAAGAAAATGTATCCTCAGAGGATAACTTTCTCTCTTCCGTTTTATTTTTTTTAATAATTTGAGTGGCGAGCCCACACAGTCTTATTTACTTATCTATTCCTGACAAATTCCATGGGCTGCTTAACTTAGAATTTAGAATATTAAGAACCCACAAGAGTTTTTCCAGTTTAGAACCCATTTCCGATGTCATCTTCTTTCTTTGTTATTGACTCCGACAGGACATAATTTTTTTTTAAAGTGCTTACTAGAATCCCAGAAGTGTGGTAATGCAAAAGTAACCTTAGGAGAACATAGGGCTCAGCTGTGTGTAGCAGCTAGTCTTTGCAAGCCTGTTTGAAACTCTGGGTTGGACCACTAGAGCGGTGTGCTTTTATTCCCTCTCCTGAGCAAAACTGTGTTCATTTTCCAAAATAGAGATGCTGAGAGACTTTTTAAAATAGTAGTATATCACATGGTGCAGAGATACAGCCACGGGTTGAATTCTGGGGTCCTCTACACTGAAGACCTGGTACTTAGATTTTATTCTCCTTTGTACATAAAATCTCCCCAAGCTCCCCATGCCTAAAGACATGCTACCCACGCCTACCACGCTTGATTCGATTTGACTTTCGTAGCATTTAAAGTGTGTGTAAATGGCTTGCTTTACAAACTGAATCTTGGCGTCTGGAAAGAGCATCATGGATGAATCAGAAATGTGACCCTTTTAACCATAGCTTATTAGTCACTAGGGTACATGCTTTCTTAGATCCTCTCCCCATTTGGAGGGGGCTGCTCTACAACCCCTGAGGCTCACTCCCCATCAAAGAAATGGGAAAGAGTTCCTCTTTGGGAATCTCGCCCCCTAGAGGGAGATCATGGTTGAGCTTTGTATCCTTCTTACCCTACATCATGAGCGGTCTTTCTCTTTAATATTTGTTCAGTGGTGAAGAAGGGAAATGGTTTTGTCTGCAAGAAAACAAGCTCTGGAGGAAAAAATGAATGAAGATCTTGGGAATTCTTAAACCGCTCAGCCCGACAAATGAGAGCACATCCACCCCAACCACAAACTGTGACCCAACCCAACAGTCACTCGCTTTTGAATGTCAGTCTTTACAAAACAGACTCTCAGCACAAGCCAATTCACGAATGGGAAATCACTTACTCTTAGTTTTATTAAATCAACTCATATTTATTATACAAAATGATAGTTTAAAAATGATATTTTTATTCAAATATGTCATGCACTTTGACAATATTCACTCTCATTGCCTTCTCCCACTAGTTCCCTAAATCTTCTCAAACAGTTCCCACTCTATGTTCATGTTATATATAATATCTACATGTATTATACTCATATATGTATAGCTCAAGTTGTATACATAAAAGAAAATATTCAGTGTTTACTTTTCTGGGTCTGGCTTAAGATGATGGTTGCCAGTTCCATATCTTCCTTGCAAGTGACATAATTTTGTTCATCATGGCTGAATCAAACCCCATTGTGTACATCCTTCACAGTTTCTTTTGCCACTCTGTAATGTGTGGCTAACACCAATGACAGACTCCTGGAAGGTATATAGAAGAGATAGTGGCCATGGATACCCAAGGAGCAAGCCCCACCTCCTGTGAGGATTTTCTGGTCTTAGTTTCTCAATTTTTAAAGGGAACAGTGAAACCCAGAAGGGTTGAGGGTGACGTCAAATGAAATTATTTCTCTGAAGAATGTTGCTTGTGGTCCCAATTGACTCTCACTACTAATCTTATGAATGAATTAATCTTTTTTTCCCTGTACATTTTGGATTACTTTCATTTGAAATATACACCGACCCTAACATAGGACATGAATGCTCAGCTTGAGAATTCACTTGGGAAAATGGTGATGTCAGACTTGGACCTGCTCTTCTTCTCCCCTGCATGGGAACCCCTTAGCCCAGGCGTTCTGAGAGCACCATGTCTGCAATGGATCTTGACAAGTACAAAACTGTGGTGTCTGTCCAGGGAAGATGGAGACAGATGAAATTCCAGAATACCAGAAAGAGAAGACTGTGTGACTATTCAAGGTTCGGGGGCCAATAAGGCACAAGGCTTTAGTTCCTTGGACTCTTTCTATCAAGGAGAAGTCTGGGACCACAGGGAGTCAGAGCTGAGCCCTGTAATCCAGAAACCCGCTCGAGGAGAGGCTCCTCTGGCTTCATTCTGAAGTGTGTGTGAGCAGGTGTGGTGGAGGTAGGGAAATGCCATTGATGGAGAGATTCTGGGAAAGCTTCTGGGTGATACCACTTGACTCAAGGATTGCAGGAGAAGCCAGATTCGGTTGATACACAGAGATGCGAAAAACAACTGAACAGAGCTGAGTCACAAGGGGTGTGTGTGTGTGTGTGTGTGTGTGTGTGTGTGTGTGTGTTCAAGCATTCAGTAGCATTAGAAGAAGCATTCTGGTTAAAGAAGGACTGGCCAATCAGCAAGATCTGACACCTTGAGCTGCTGGGATTGTGTTAATAATAAGTGAGTTTTGGAGGTTTGTAAAAAAGGCAATCCATCAGCCTGCTTCTTAAAACAATGCACAATGGGATTAGGGCTATTTTCCGGGATTTATGTTTTGAAATGGCAGAGTAGATGGCTTCACGTTAGCAGCCACCATAGCGACCCAGCCTTGTCCATCAATTCCCTGAAGGCTTAGCAAGTTAAAACCTTAAAGGAAAATGAAAAGCATTGCTCAGAAAGGCTGTGGATGAAGCAACAAATCACAATTCCCCAAATGAGCGTTATGTTCCAGTCCTCTGACAAGCCATGCAAAACCACACAGTGCCCAGACACTGTGGGAGGAAGCTTCCCGAGATTATAAGTCTGTCTTGGCCATCATTTCCCCAAACCACAGCAACCGGGGAAATAACCTACTCAGCCTGCCATCTTCGCCTTGCAGAATGCACAGCGGGGACATGGAGTCCAGTTAGCTCTTCCTTTGCTGCCCAGGCAACCTTGCTCTTGTAGAGCGCATCTGACTTGAGCCATGTCAGTCAAGGGCTCTTGGTCCCTGGATCAAATGGTATCTCAAGCCCACTAAGGCTGAGCATGTCGGACACTCCACTAACCACCCATCTTCAGTCCTCTCCACTCCATGGCTAGATTTGGCACTTCCTGCCTTCTTTATTGTGATCCCCCATTTCCCATCACAGTTATTTCCTCAGTTACTTCTCCGCTGAATCATGCTTTCTTCTCTGCTACTTGGAGGAGTGAAAATTCATACACAAAATGAGCTTTTGTGAGATTTGATAGTTCTTCTTGTCACAGGCATTTAAAGAAACACACCATAGATCTGTTTACACGGAGAGACTCTGCATGTACTTATTCCGTAGCCATCACAAAGTGTCACGTGTACGACGAGGTCACCATATAGCTGCATCTGTCTGTGTTCCATGCATGTTACAGGAGTTCATGAGATTTTCCTTCTGTGATGAGGAAGGGCGAGCTCATGGAAGAACTCACCCTCATCCTCTCGACTCTTTCAACTTCCCTCCCATGTTTAAGGCTGATTTTAGGACCTGTATTGAGTCATGTGAACCAGATGAGAAGTGATACTAATTTTAAAGACTCTCTGGGGGACAGGAGAGATAGCCCAGTTCATAAAGTGCTTGCTGTACAAGAACCAAGGTCTGAGTTCAGTTCCCAGAGCCAGAAGGAACTGGGTGTGGTGACACACACTTGTAACTCCAGCACCGAAGAGGAGAGACTGGAGGATCCCTAGAGGTAGACTGACAGACAGACAGCTTAGCAGAACCAGTGAATTCCAGGACAGTGAGGACCCCCCTTCTTAACAAACAAGGGGGATGGTGACTGGAGGGACATCTAACCTACAGACACGCAGGCACACGCACGCACACATATTTATATACGAATGCACACTGTTCTATTTCTTTCTTCCCAAGACAGGGCTTCTCTGTGTAGCCCTGACTGTCCTAGAACTTGCTCTGTAGACAAGACTGGCCTCAGAGTCAAAGATCTGCCAACCTCTGCCACCCAAGTGCTGGGGTAAAAGGCATGCACCACCATTGCCCAGATGAACATATATAAGTCCCTAAAATATTTTTGGAAGTCTTTCTGAAATGAAGACTCTGCAGAGCACTGGGACAGAGATGATTCTTAGTTCCCGCTAACTTCAGCTCAGCAAAAGGATGATGTCATCTGAAGACTTGAAACAGGAGAGGATTCGTGCTTTTTATTGAAAGCTAAGCTCGCCCTCTGGATCAATACCCAGACTTCTATCCAGTCTTGTTAATTTAACTGCCGACGATGCAGCCCTTCTAGAAGTCATGAGACATAAATTGGTAAGATGGTCTTGTTCCTCATATCAGCAAAAA